CCTTCCTCTCTCCCCACTATAAATTTAGGCAAGTCAAGGTGGCACTAGAATTCCCAGGGTAACCTATTTTCAAGACTGCCTTCACCCTACAAAAAACAATGTACATAAACTTCTGGTACAAAATGCTGCGAGGAAACTAGATGTGACAGTATAAATTCAGGTGCATCTTGTGCTCCATCATTACATTTCTCTGTTGCTGCTGCTCATAACTAGCTGCTCGGTTTACACACACTAGTTCTTCAAGGTTCCAGATAGATTAACAAGATCTCACTGTACATGACTCGCCAGCTAAGGGATAAGAAAACTCTGCAACATTTCTCCACAATAAGGACCAGCCTGAAGCCCCTTGTATTAGGGGTCCCTTTGGAATTACTTCAGTGACTGATGCAAGCAGCATCCAAACCCACTAGTCTGAAAGAACAAAACGTGTCCCTAGGAAGAATCCCTAGGAAATCTCAGACCAAGTTCCGAAGAAAGCCAAGCATTGCAAGAATGAACTATAGCATAAAAAACATCTCAGGGTAATACTTACCTAGGAAACGGAGATGATTGTGAAAGTCTTTTGGAAATGAAATGATCTCACTTTCCATTACATTTATATCAGCTTCTGGAAGGGAGTTCACAGAGTATCTACATGTGTCAAGCCATTTTTGGAAACATTTTTTTTCCAGCTTGTGCTTATCACAGTGACAACAAACGCCTGGATAAATTAGGGCAGAATTTCTAACAACTCTGGATCCTTTCCCACTCCCTAACTTGCTAGGCCTCATGATAGAGGATTTTTTTTCCCCCCCTCCCTTGATGACAAAAGTCCTCACGCTAGATGAGTAACATTAGAAAGATCTGCAGGGTGCTGCTGTCACTGGAGAGTATTCTGCCTCGTTTTAACACAAATAGCTAAAAACAGCTCACTATCATTCTGTGAGCAGTCATCTACAAGCTATTACTGATTACAAAAAAAAAAAAAAACCTTACCATATACAGTACTCAGTTGTGTATGTTGTTTGTGTGTCACAAAGACTGAAAATATCTGGCTTATCTTAATACTTCAGTGACACTATAGGTGAAAACTGAGAGTGAATCAGCAATATGTCATTCAGAAGAGATGAGGAATAACCATTTTTACAGCTGAAAGACACCAATTACATAAGAATACACTGGTTTTATATAGCAATCCAGACCTATACCGGACTAAGATATATGAAAGAACCATCAAACGAACTTGTCTATAAAGGTAACAGAGGCTGATAATATTCTCCCATTCCACAAGACAAAAGCAAATGATGCAGAACATGGGGTACATTTTGGTAAAAGTTAACTGTGCAGATGTCAAGGGCTACTCTATCCCTCTCTCCCACCTGTCATAGGACTGTGCAACAGACCTCAGACACAAGAAACCTTAAGCATCACTTCATTAAAATCAGTTCCACACTCAATCTCAATTTATCCATCAGGCAAAGAGCTGGATTCGGTTCGTTTCCATACTCAAAAAACAGTCCTCATATTGCATTTCTGATAATAAGTAAGGAAAACCAACACAGGCAGAGTGCCCTAACTTGAATGCTCTGCACCACATGAAATAATTCTGAATACATACAATGTGTTTTCAGGGTTGTAACAACAAAGAACCAAGAAAAGTTAAAGATAAGGACTAATACATAACATAACAGCCTGGTTCTGACCCTGAATCCCAGGTGTAGTGGAAGTCATACAATATTTTTTTTTTTTTGTCATGAGGTGCTAACATGTACTACTCATTAAAACGTAACTTTGGACTTATTATTCTGAAAAGAAAAAAAGGTTTTTTAAAATTATAGTTACATCAACACTCCCAGGTAAACCCGCAAGTTCCATACATGAAAATATCACACTAAACTACGAGATTCAGAAAGGCCAGCAAAGGAATCCCTAATGAACTTTCTTCCTTGTTAAGAGTAGGCCTGCTTTATAAGAGGTAACAGGCAAAGAGTGAAATCATGATTAAAGAATGAGACCACTGATTACTCAGTAAGGGCAGGGTGTGAAAACATAATTCCAGCTGCCCATCACCACGGTGCTCCCAAGTAACAATTTTTGGAATCGGGCAAAGAGCTGTGCACTTCTAGAGGACTAATGTGTCATTATGCGCCTACAGGAACTGAATTCCAGCTGCCCATCACCACGGTGCTCCCAAGTAACAATTTTTGGAATCGGGCAAAGAGCTGTGCACTTCTAGAGGACTAATGTGTCATTAGGCGCCTACAGGAACTGAAGGTAAATCTTACGACCTCTGAGTTGTAAATGTGTTCATTTATACAAAAAATGTCTTGAAGCTTAGGTACGTACAGTATATAAGGTTGTATCTTTTTAAGCTTGAGTTTCATGTTGAGCAGATGTGTAGTTTTCCCCAAAGATATGTAGTAAGCAAACCTACCTGAAGTGGCTACCATAAATAAAATTAAGAAAAAGTTGCAGAAAACACAATTTTAAACAGCAGCTTAGGAATATAAGACAATGTTTCTTCACGTCATCTCAGTTTTGTATCTTTACTGAAGCTTGATCACTGGCTTTCCTTAACATGGACATAGCAGTGCATCTTGTCAGCATTACAAATGAAAAGAACTTACACTTCATACAGTCACCTAAGAACACTGACTTAAACTTTTTATTTGCAGTCAAAAGAAAACCCACCAAAAATCCAGTTGTTCTTCCTTTATTGCACTCTATAAAGCTCCTTGTTATAATCAAGAAGCCATTAAACAGTAATAGATGAGTATGTCTTTAAAATTCATAGTTTAACTCTTAAAATAAATTGTATATAGAAAAGATACCATTTACAACCCAATCAGTAGTAATCAATCATTACATACTCACAGATCATATTAAATAACTTGTATGCAGCAGTTCACTTATAGGGCAAACAGAAGGGAATATTTTTTTCTTAGCAAATATAATATTCCACTGTCAAAGAGCAATTCAAGTCAACTTTGGAGCAACTGTGATATACACAAAATTCTGATAAGAAGCTCAAGACTCACAGAGTATAACAAGTATATATACAACTGTGTCCAGTGCATAGCTTAACAGCAGCATGTGAAAACTCTAGAAATTGGCACACCATTAACCTATAGGAAAATAATTTATTGGGAAAATGCAGTGTATTCAGAGGATGCCAGTGAGGCACAATAAAACAATAATATGTAGTGTCATTAGGTATGTAAGGAATAAATAGCGTGATTTTCCTCTGGAGCTCAGCAGGTTAGAACAGTAAAGACTTCGTCCTCGAAGCCATCTTCTGAAGGAAAGGGCTCCTCCTTTCATCTGGTTAGGAAACAAAGAAATGTCAAATAAGTAAACATGAAGATAGATAAGCAGCAGTTCCACTGCAACCTAAATGTTTGAGGGGCACTATAAATCTGCTGGTCTTTTAATGGATGCCATTAGCACAAAGAACTTAAAGGTAAAAGAAAACAAAGTTTGGGAAGGGAAAATACAAATTGTACATGTATTATGTAATGATATATCCTTACCAGAAATGTAAAATAATTATATTCATACACATTTTACTTAACATCCACACATGTAGCACATAATACAGTAACTCACATTTTTATATGAACATAATAAGGTGTTATGGGGCAACCCCAACAGAAGGAAACCAAGGACATGCCTTCTGAACTTAGCATGCTACTTTGAATGAACCTCTTCACGGCGTTCCCACCCCTGTGACATCCGGAACACTTAATATTCAGATTTTCATGTGCAGAGAGACAAGGCAGAGTCATACGAGTTCCTAATTGGTGCCATTGGTCCATACCAAAAGGACAACCCCCAAAAAAGCAATGACTCCGAATTACAAGGAAGCAAAATCTGTTCCCGAAGTATAAATGAGAGTTTGAAGGGACACAGGTAGGGCAGAGGAAAGATGCAGAAAAGGGAGGACCAACACAAAAGAGTTCACATCCTGTGCTATCTTCAATCCAATCTGCAGTTAGCAGTATAAAATGTGCAAACAAATTTCAAATAGCTTATAATGCAGCATTTTTAAAAGCTTATTTACTTACCTTTCGTACAATAACATGTTCACTAGGATTGATAATTAAGGCTTCCCTTTCCTCCTCAGATTCCATGTGAATAGTATATTCTGTAGGTTCAGACTTATAACCACTTACTTCAAATCTAGAGAAAAAATAAAAGGGCACAGGCAAAAGTACTGCTTTTCACAAGTACCAAATTCCCATTATGAGTATTATTTTGAATACTTAAATTACTGGGAGAGATTCCCCATAAAAAAAGCCAATAACAGTAAGATTTGGTTTATGCTGCCAGTTCTTTATGCAGTCTCTATTTTTAATCTCCTCTTAGGATCCTTCATTTATTCAAAATAACCACCCATCATCTCTAGCTCATTAAATAGTGACTTTCCGATCACTATAGTGGTAGAGATTTTAATACAGATAAACATATTTTGTATCTACTAATTTCTAGTAATTTTCTCTAGCTCATTAAATAGTGACTTTCCAATCACTCCAATGGTAGAGATTTTATTTATACAGATAAACATATTTTTCATCTACTAATTTCTAGTAATTCGGTAAAATACCACTGACTATGGAGTTCAGAATCATAAAAAAAGAAATTATTAAAACTCTTAATATATTATTGATTAAAAGACTTAGAGTGACAAACACAGGAGCACAGACTTTCGTTGCTGCATGTGCTCACAAACAGGTTCTATTATTTGCCTCAGAAAGTTAAGACCTTTTCCTATCAAAAATTTCACTAAAAGCAAACAACAACAAAAAAAATGACACTCAGATTTTGTTTTGTGGCACACTCTGCATTTAAGACAGCCATAGTACCTCAGAAAATCTCCATGCATTCATCCAGGGGGAAATGGAAGGGAAAGATGGCTTAAGGTCTCTGAACATGCAAGTTATTTCACACCCACAGGAGGGCTTAATGTAGCAGTCTAGCTGCCATCCACTTTTCAAAGAAAAGAAGTCGCCTTACAAGAATATTTACCTGTTACTTAACTCCTCAGAGAGCCCAAGAGCCTCCTCTGCAGCTTCTCTTCTCCTCTTCTCCTCTGACAGCATTTCTGTCATCTGGGAGAGAGCCTGCTGCATTGAATCATACTGTTGCTCAGTCTCTGCAAGTCTATGACAAAACAAAAATACAAAGTCAGTATTTTAAGTACTGAAAAAGTTAATTCCTTTATCATTTTTGTTAAATAATTTCTTTTGTTATTAAAAATATAATGACAAGCTTTAAACAAGGCTTTGAAATAAAGTCACTTATACGTGTATCTCTTAAAAAAGGAAACTTTAAATATCACGAAATAATTATCATTCAGGAACATGACTAGATTCATTTAATTCACTGTAATTCCACTCCTCTCTGCCCTCTCAAAACACCTGAGTTATGGGAAAGTATTATTTTTGCTCCTAAAACCCAACTGTCAAGAAAACAGTATTGCTACTATATGTTCTCAGTCCTGACCTTTTTCTGAGTTCATTTAGCTCCATATTGTCTATCTCAACAATAACTGCTGATCTTTCCTGTGGTGCTCCTGGGGGAACTTCTGTTCTAGCTTCATCCTGGAAAATATTAAAATGGAAAAAAGACAGTCACCATTTTCCTAGTCATAAAAATCTTTATTTCAATTAAAGAAGCCATAAGCACCACAGAATAGAGGGACAAACCACTACTGTGTCATTTAATCACTTAATTCTGGAGTTGAAATTTTCCAAGCCTCTTTTCCAATGTAAAGTTGATGAAGAACAATATGTGCAGGATTTGAAGGGAACGCGTACACTTTATTACACAGGACTGTGCAGCATCTCTGAGTTATCTGAAGGGAAAGAAATGTATCTACACTAACATAGTATTGACCTTAGTTTCACAAGGAATGCAGCTATTCTGCTAACAAAATCTGAAACAAACTATGCATGGTATCACACTGTGCCATATACACCTGCCAGCTCACACAGAGGTAGCTGAGATGTTCTGGCTTTAACTAGCGTTTGTGGTGAGTTAGGGTCTCGTATTAATGGATCACTGCTGAATAAGCAAAGCAATACAGGAGGACTTTTTAAAAATAAAGAGATCACAAAGCAAAAAAGATTACAGATGTATATGACAGATTACAAAGCCTACAGAAGAGCTGAAGAGCACGTGCAGATCTCATATCTGAAAATATTATTCAAACACCTTGCAAAAATGATTCACAACTGCTGTGAAATTATCACTAATCCCTAATAATCTAATTATTGGTGATTAACTTATCTCTGCTAGCTGCTGGCCAATTTAAAAAAAGAAGACACTTCAAAATGACAAATGACAAAAGCATCTGTGAACACCTACCTTAACTGAAAAGCCAAGTAAAAATAGCTTTGGAGCAATACAATTATCTTCCTTAAGTGCTTCATGGACAAAAGCACAAGTATCAATACAAGTAAGTACAAGTATCGGTACAAAAAAATACACGTTTTTGTGTTTAGTGCTGGAAAACTAGCGAACACATGAAGACAAAAGAAAAGTTTTAAATGTTTCCATACACTCATTTTTACCTGAACAGTGCCTTGAAAGGATGTCACTTGCATTGTCTGATATTCTCTCTCCAATCTTAAATAACGATTTTGCAAATCAGTGTAACGAAGCTGATTATCCCTTAGAGTCTGAGACATGGTCTTTAACTGAGCAGACAAGATGGCATTCTCTTCTGCTGACTGCAAAACCTGGAACAAATTAATATTTAAATAATTTTCTGGAGGAGATAAGTTTTAGGAATTATTACAGAATTGAGACTTGTCATCTAATGACCACTCCAGGTTTTCCCTTTTTGCCTCCCTTGCTCTATTTCATTACCACTTGGAAAAACACAGTAGATGTGGTTGCTGCTTCAGGACAATGCACATAGCCAAGTCAGCTTGACATTAGATCTATACACATATTCATCAGACAGTTGACAAATGTACAACAATAAAGTTTTCATCTCTTCAAAAAGGGTCTTCACCTTTACCTAGACATCATTACCCACAGGGGTTTGAAAATTCTATGCCTGTTTCAAAATTTGGTTGATACTACTGTTAGATTTAAAAATATTGGGTGAAGCAGGGAGAACAGACACAATGACTGATAGAGAAGACAGCTGAAAGGTCACATAAGCCCAGTTTGCTTTGAATATTAGGCTATAAAGAGAAGGATGTGTTTAGGAAAACATTTCCAAGGATTTTTATAAACTTTTGTGAACCAAACTGAACATAAATATTTACCACCATTTACAAGCACAAAATGGTTCATCAAGAAATAGGAAACAGAGGCATTTAAAGTTTGGTATGAGACCTTCTTCTAGCTAAGACACCTGTATATATATATATTTATATATATATATACACATACACACACACTTTTAAACTTTGAACAGAACTTTGCTAGTGCCCCATCAATCTCTTTAGAAGGAGGATTCAAAAAAAAACCTCAGTCAAATATCTAGTCACAAAAACTGCATCAGAAAGACATTATTGAGACTTTATTTGCAATTCCTAGCCTGAGCCAAGAGAGTTGTTTTGAAGAATCCAAGTTTTAAAGCACTAGGCATTGGATATATACAACATAGCATCAATTTATCATACAAAAAATAACTGTATGTTGATAGCAGTTCAGATTAACATTAGCCATTTAGGATGGTGTTTTAAATTACCTTTGAATTAATCTGCTGAAAATGAAGATCCTTCTGGTGTATCTCCTGAAGACAACGCTGCAGTTCATTTTGAAGCTGATTTTTCTCATCTAAAACATGCTTGATTTCCTCAGGAATGTCTGCACTTCCAGCAAGGGAGACAGTTTCTAATATCTTTAAAAGTATTAGTACATTCAGGGTCAATGGTATAAGAGTTTTGTTAACAATTATATATAAGTTCCAAAACTAAGTATACATGCAGACTAAATAATGATCGCCTTTTCAGAAGATCTTTCCAGAAGTCTATCACACATTTACAGTTTTATAAAAATTCAACTATATGGTGTTTTCAACTTAAGTCTTCAATAGAAATATATACATTAAATATTTCAAATTTAGTAACAAATAAAAAAACTATTCCATAACCCAAAAGACATTATTACTCAATATATTTTATTTGTGATTTCATCACAAAAGATGAACAGCAAATGATAGCCATAAATTTGAACTATAATGTTTTTATTGAAATTAAAGGAAATTATCTTCTCTTGAAATGAAAAAAAGGCAAAGGCAAAAAAAGGCATTTTCCTTGAACCTTTAATGATAATGTACAAAAGTAGATAGCAATTGCCAAATTGGGTCTCAGCTGTGATCTTTCTAAATGGGGTATTTTTGCTCCTGGCATAAACCAGCTCCAGCTGCTTCAGAAGACACAAAAATACTTCCATTAGGCACATCTTTCCCTTCTCCCTCTCAATTAGCTCCTATTCTCATCTTCAAGAATTGACAGATTGATTTAGGCTGTGAAAAATGAAATTTAATAGGTTTGTTCAAATCAAGAATACAAATACTGAAAAGTGCTGCTGTGAGTATAAATTTCCAATTCCTTTTTGAATCCTGTTAAAACCTATGTGCTTGATAACAGATAGCATAAATGCAACATATTTTAAAAAAGATAACTATCAATAATAAAAGCATATGCTTTTAAGTAATTTTGCAATTGGCAGTAAACATTGCTTATTCTGGGTTCACAAGAAAGGAGAATACAGACTCTCAGTTCACCTATTTACGCCCTTCTCTACTATTAGGTATTTTTGTCTCTCATTTACTTATTCCTTACTGTAAACAATCCCAAACTTCAGTTTCTGTATCATGATTTTTACCTCCCTCTTTTTAAACCTTTTTTTAAATCGCCACACAATACTTCTGTGAAGTAGCAGATTTAAAATAGAGTACAAATGATTTAGTCAAGAACTGCTTTCTGTGTCACCTTTTCTACCATTTCTTCAGCAATCACACAGTTCATTTAATTGAGTTTTCTAAAAATTAGAAATTTTCAAGTCATCTTGTTTGCCCATCTGTTCCCCCCATTAACATTCAAATTGGTCAATCAATTTGAAAAACCAAATTTTCAGGAGAAAAGTCACTGTCTCAGGAAATTATGATGTTCCTATGTTTAACGTATATAATTAGTGGCTAGAAAGATGAGTTCAACTTGTACTATGAGGAGAAAAAGATAGAACCCAGATGTTCTATAGGCTGTTTGGCAGCTGATCAAGTCTAGCAGCATGCAAGGACTTGATGGCCAACAAATACGTTGCTGGTACCCTACAAGTACAGCATCTTACCCTCTTTGAACAAGTGTGCTATAGAACCACATGAGGACACTGGTGTGAACAGCAGGAGACAAGTGATGCACAAGAAACTGGCGTAAGAAGCCAGAATTAATTAATAATCCTGCTATGGACATAACGTATTTCATTTTTCGCTACTAGAAGAATTTTTCCTTGAGTTGTCTGCAACCCTCCTGTCCTTCTCTTGATTCGATAGAAGTAACTGAGAATCTTGTAAATTTCATTAGTTTTTATTCCTTTCAAATTTCTCTCTGAATTTGGAAGCACTAGGCCTGCTGTTGAGTATTTGCCATTCATCTAGTTTGAGCCATGTCTTAAATCCAGAATGCAACATGTAAAGGTTCAACTAACTCAGGACAGCAAATTTCAAGATTACTGAAGTAACCTATTAATATAAGGAATGAGCAAACACTGTTGCATTACCATTTAACCATAGCAAACTTTGACTCCTTTTGGTTAAGTATCAGTAAGATTCACAACATACGATTGTTTAAATAAAGCAAGGTATCAATACTAAGAAATATTGTAACTCATTTGCTAGGAGTAGCTGTAATCTGCTGGTTTACCTCAGTGCAGTACTGAGGTACATACTTTTCATCTCCCCTCCTGCAAACTGTACAATACTGCACAGTTCTCACTTGGGAAGCGGTTTGCACATTTTAAACAATGAATGGATTGAAGTACAGTCATGCTTCCTGCTACATTTTGCTTCTTTACCTTGACTGGATAATTGCTCCCATCAGAGATTTCTGATTTCTTAACAATCCTGTCTTGCTGCAGCTTCTGTAGTTCTGCAATCTGTTGGTCTTTCTCAGCAACTGTTATCTCACATTGATTTCGTAGTGCCTGTGACTCTGACAGGAGGAGGGTTTTTTCCATTCTGAACATAAAATATTAAATTGGCTGTTAATATAGTACATACAAGTCACTGAGGAAGAAAAGTTGTGCTCACTGGTATTCCTGAAATAAAAAAATGGTAGTTTCTAAACACAGATATTATGCAAGCATGGAGCATTATATGAACATATGCAGTACACGCTTCAGTTTAAAGGTATTTGCTAACAAAAATCTTGGAAAATAAAGCCTTAAATACGATAACGTGCGCGCCTTGCTGGCTTGGAGACCGGAGAAGTTTATCAACTGTAAAGAAATAAAGAAGTGTTAATGCAGCATACATACCTGAGCTATCTGAAGAATAAGGTGGGGTAGCAAAGCAGCTCTAGGCTGTAGCAGTATAGACTGCTGCTCAGCATAGTCTAGCTTATTTCAAGTACTGAAGTTTGGAAGAGGCACCCCCTAGACTCGAAAAACTTCATGACAAACAAACATGTTGCATACCCTGAAAACGCTGTCATGCACAATAGCACCACAAAGGGCATAAAAGCAATTTAAATCTTTCTGAATTCAATTTAACATTTCAAAGTTTGAGGGGAGGAAAAAAAAAAAAGATAGAGAGAAAAGAGTATTCACGCTATCCACAGCCACCAGTTCATTTTCAAATGAGATTACACACCTTTTGATCTAGAAACTCCCCCCAAGGCTCCTAGCATAAAGCAGATATTATCTGAAACAGATCTTAATTACAGAAATTGCACTACAGATAATAAAACACATAAGGCACTATGGTATTCCCTACCAAACAAAATTACTACCACTGAACTAATTCTAACTGCTTTCTCACTTCTAATCATCTGCATGAGTTTAGCTAGAATCTTAATTCTGTCTTAATTTACAAGCTCTAATTAGAAGAGCAGTCTAAGTATCTTGAAATGCCTCCATGGAACAGCACTTTAAGATATCTCCTGCCATCTTAGATGTGAAGGGTAACGTGCAGTCCTTATAGAAACATTCTTGCCCTCCACTTTGGTAGGCTAGACATAATTTTATTTCTGCGTTCACTTCATATCATGTTGTGGAGACTGCTGAAGAATTCTGAACAAAAGCAACCTCCACTATTTGTGAAATTTAACATACACACCTTAATCCAGCAAGCTCATTCTGGTATGATGCAATCTCTCTCTCAGCTTCTGCCTGGAAGGTCTTTGTCTGATGCAATGCTCTCTCCAAATCATCAACCTTGGTCTTCAGCTTTGATATCTCAGTGGCTGCAAGACTGGCTCCTTCTTTAGCCTACATTTAATAAACAGGATTAGCGAGCCAGAATGACAATTTAGCAGTGCTAGGGTTCTACACAAGTTTCTTATTTGCTTCTGTTTAACAAATGATTACCTAAATTCTCAAATTCCAACCATGCCTGCCCTCATCAGATTATGTTTTCTCAGCACTCAATATATCTGCAAAATTCAACTTCAGAGTATCACTCAGCATTCTCTACCAAAAAAAAAAAAAAAAAAAAAAAACACCACCACACACTACAAAGCAATGTAGCTAATTAAAACTTACCAATCTTCCCCTATCCATCTGAGAGGTATCCAAAGTATTTTTAAGAGAATTTATCTCACTGATGCTGTCGCAAGCAATGGCTAATGAAGCCGTGCCCTGTTTAGTCTCAGAAGCCAGCTTCTGCTTGCCAAGTTCCTGCAGCAATTTGTCTCTGTCATCCTGAAGACTGGCCATAGCCTTGGAAAATGCTTCAATCTGGCTAATATAATTCCCATGCTCAGATGTGAGCCTGCTAATCTCCAGCTCCCGGCTGTCTAACATCTTACACAGATTGCCAATTTCTTCAGCAATTTGATCAAGCGTGACATTATTTGCAGCATCAAAAAGCACCTGGTTTTGAAGAGCATTTTCTTTGAGTACACTGATGAGCTGCAATTTAAAGTTGTCCAATTCAGCTTTAAATTCACCTCCCTTCCTTTTTTCAGATTTGAGTTTGGATGCATATTTGCTCTGAAGTACCTTGAAGTCCTCTATTATTCTATCTCTATCATTTTGCAGAGCTGTCATTGCTTTCCCAAAGGCCTCATTTTGGGATCTTAGTTCCCTATTCTGAAACTGAATTTCTAGTATCATCTTCTCAGCAGAATCATCAGCTGCAGCTCTGTGCTCCTGTTTCAAAACAGTCTTATTGTATTTCTCATCTGCACCATTATTATTTTTGCCTACTGATTCCTGGACTTCCTGAATCCTCTTCTGAAATTTTTCTTCGTACTGTTCACGGGCTACGTGTTCCTTTTTCTGAGTACTGCCACTAGACAACAGTTTCTCTCCAGATTCAGAAACAAGCCTCTCTTTGTTTAATGATGCAATTAAATATTCCAAGTCATTTACTTTAGATATTAATTTTTCATTCTCGTGTTCCAAAGACACAGCGGCATCCCTCTGCGCTTCATTGATCAGTTGCATTTCTGTCATGTGTTTTTGAAGACTGCATTTTTCTTGTTCAAGGCTTTTAATACAATCCATTTTTTGCTTAAGTAAGTCTTTCAGCTGGTGATCTTTCAAAGATAAAACTTGGTTAAGATCTTCCCTGTACTTCACTAGCTGTGCATTTAACATTGCATTTTCAGAATGGAGATCATCTATCTGATTGAGAAGTATCCTTACTTCTTGCTTCAGAGCACTGCTTTCACTTTCATTGCTAATTATAAGACTGTCTCTCTGCTTTAAAACGCTTTGGTGAAGATGTTCCAGCTCTTTGCATTTAGAAAAAAGATTATCCCTGTCATTCTGAAGAGATGACATTGATTTTTTGAAGGCATCTATTTCACTGGCAATTGCAGCTTTCTCTTGACCTGCTCTGTCTGCTTTCACCTGGAGACTTCTCAGTTCGTTTTCCATCCTCTGACAGGATTCCTCACGTTGTTGCGTCTCTATCTGCAAGGACTTTAACTGAACTTCATATTCTTCAATCTGCTTTCTATGCTCACTTTTTACCTGAATCAGATAATCAGAAATTTCATCACCTTTTGAAGAAATGAGTAGGGAAATTTCTTTATCTTTATTATTTAACATTATTTTCATTTGTTCAGAAATGGCAATTTGCTTTTCCAATTCTGCACGAGTCTTTTCCTTTTCAGTTAGAAGTTGTTGGAATTCTTGTTCTTTCCCAGTAAAATTACTTTCCAGGGCTTTTATCTCTTTTCCTGCACTTTTACAGCTCTCTCCGAGGTGAGTAAGAGAATTATTCTCCATAAGAAGTGCTTGCAAAGCTGCTTCTTTTGACTGAAGAACACTCTCCAGCTCCTGCTGCCTGCTGAGAAAAAGCATATTTTCTTCCTTTACGCGGCAGAGCTCTTCATGGCACTGTTTATCAACAGATTTTTGCCTCGAATACAGTTCAGCCTGTGTGTCCTCCGCCACAGAATATTTGATATTCAGTTCTTGAATTTCAGCCATTTTGTCTTTCAATTCATCTTGTAAAGTCAAGATCCTTTTATTATAGTCTTCAATCTGTTTCTCTTTACTTTGAATTACCTCCTTAAACTGCATTTCCCAGTTTTGCATTTCACCGATGACTCTGTCCCGGTCACTTTGAAGAGAAGACATACACTTTGTAAAGGCGGCCAATTGGGCCAAAGCTGCATTCAAATCTGCTTGAAGTTTCTTGTTTTGCAAGTCCTTACTGCTTAATTCCTCTTGCAGCTCCTGAATATCACCAAGCGCCCTGTCTTTCTCTCGCTGAAGGGCACTGTGTCTTTCCTCTAGGTTCAACCACTCTCTTTCGTGAACTTGTTCCAAGTCTCTCTCATATTCTCCCTTTTGGTTTTGTAGTTGGTCGTCTTTTTTCTTAAGTTCTTTTTTCCAACGCAGGTTCTCAGCTGTAAGCCTGTCAACTTCATTCTTTGACTTATCCAACACGCTCATCTGCAAAGAAAGCATTTCTTTGAGACGATTTATTTCTTCATTTGATTTGGCAAGCTTTTCTGATGTATTACTTAGGTCCTTTTCAATTTTTTCATTTTTTGACTGTGATATTTTCATGGATCTTTCCAAGTCCAGAATCAACTCCTGAAGCCTTATTGAATCTTTTTGCAAATGGTTGATTTCCTGCTGTTTCTCCTTTAGGAGTTCTTGTAATTCTTTTGTTTTGGTTTTAGTTCCACTATTGTCTCTCTGTGCACATTTCACTTTCTCCTCAAACACTTTTACAAGATGCAACTGCTGTTGTTCTTTTTCTCTAATCATGTTACATTTTTCTGCCTTTAATTCTTCCAGCTGCTCTAACAGTAAGTTATTCTGCATCTGTGCTGATTTCAATCGATCAGTAAGATAATCAACCTTTTTAACATGGTTCAGCAATTCTGTCTCAAGAAATTCTCTCTCATTCTTTACTTTGTAAGAACTTTCTTGCACACTTTCTAATTCCTCCTGTAACAGGCATTTATCATCCTCTAAAATCTTGACTTTTTCAGTCAGACTAACGATTTCTTGTGTAAGACTTGTACATTCAGCATCTAGCTTTGTAAAGCAGCTGTTTTTAAGATCTAGAGATTTTTCAGTTTCTTTTAATTTGTCTGAAATTGATTTTCTTCCTTGTTCTAGGACAAGCAAATCTTGTTCTTTTTCAGAAAGTTTATCCTTTAATATATTAACGTCCTTTAATAATGACTCATTCTCACATAATGCATCCCTGATTTTAGACTGCATATCATTCTGGTACACCTCCATTTGAACTTGGAGGTCTCTCAAAGTTGCTTTTGTTACAGCGATGTCATTATGAAGGATGCCATTTTCACTCTGAATTTTCTCTAAAGCCTGTTTTAAACTTTCAGAAGTTTGTTTCAGCTGCTCATTTTCCTCCATTAGCTGATAATTACGATGAGTGAGTTCATGAAGGTGATCCTGATGTTCTTCCATCCTTGCCTCTTGCTCCTGTAGTTGCCTTTGTGCTTTACTCTGTAATTCGTCAGCTTCCATTTTTTTGGATTCACTGAGCTGTTTCAGCTGGTTCTTTATAACTTCATTTTCATCAGTGAGTTTTTGAAAATGCTCCTTAAGTGCCTCCTTCTCAGATTCCCCTTCTCTGAGTCTTTGAATAGCCTCTAGCTTCTCTTTTCTAGTGAGGTCAATAACTTGCCTCATATCTGCTATTTTACTACTGATATTTTCATATGCCTGAAGAAGTGATTCATATTCTTGCTTTAATTCACTATGCTTAGCCTTCCATCCTGTCAATTCAACTGTCTGAGAATCTTTTAAAGTAGTCAGTTGGAAAGAAAAGGCCTCTTTTTCCTGAACTATAGTCTCCATGGTAGATTTAAGACTTTCACATGCAGCAGTTAGGTTTTCATTTTCAGCTAGAAGTCGAGCATTTTCAGAAACAAGGCTCTCCTCTTCATACAACGGAGAAGCTGCTTTGGAATTTTCCTTTTCTCCAGGAAGCTCTGACACCAAACGTTCAAGTGTACTTGTCTTGTTCACTAGTTCCTCTCTTTCCAAAAGCAATTTATCAATCTGGTCTTTTAGACATTTGTTTTCTCTCAAGGCTTCCTTCCGTGATATTAGAGCTGCATGTAGCTTTCTCTGGAGGCGCTCTCTGGACTTCTCTGCTGCTGCAGCTCCTTGCTCTTGGGCCTTTGAGTCATTTACACTTGCAGGTTTTACTGGTCGCTCTTCAGCTGTTGGCAATTGCTTCTGAATCTCATATTCTGTGGTTTCCTTTAGTTCAGCTTTTCTGGAATAATCAGTCTCTGAGAGTTGAAGACAGGTGTCCTTATCCTGTAACTTTCCTTGCAGCAAATTAATTTCTGACTGTCCCAATTCCTTTTCGGCATCATTTTCTTCCTTAAATTCTTTGCATGACATCACAGGACTGCTTATCCCAGCCTTTTCTTGTAGTATCTGTAGCTCTGTCAAGAGCTTTTTATTTTCTTCACTGATATATTTTACCTCCCTTCTCACATTAATTAGCTCCAAATTGGACTTTTCTAAATGACTGATAATTTTCTCTTTCTCACTCTTTATTTCCTCAAATGCTGTTCTGTAATGGTGGGCTTCTTCTTGACCTTCCTTTACAGCATCTTTCAACGCTTCCTTTTCCAGATCAGCCTTATCTTTGAAATCCAAAAACGAACAACGCAATGCCTCTATTTCCTCAATCTTTTCTGCAACCTCTCTCTTAGCTTCCTTTCTCAGCCTTTCCAGTTTCTCCTGGCTCACCTTACAATCCTCTTCATTCTTTTTAATAAGTTCATCCTTTTCATTATTCACATGTTCAAGTACTGTCTTAAGGTCCATAGCTTCCGTCTCATACATTTCCAGCTTTTTCTGCAGCTGACCTATCTCCTCCAACATGCTGTCTTTATGTTGCTCCTGGTACTGCTCCTGCAGCCTCACTGAGTTGAAGTTGACTGTTTCTACTCTTCTGTCACCAAATTCAACTGATACCTTTCTCAACTCTTTCTTTAGCGCTTCTGTTTCTTCCTGAAGTTCTGCATAATCATGTCTTAGTGCTTCTAACTCAATGTCTTTACTTGCCATTAAGTTTTCTGACTCTTCTAAGGCTGCAACCTGAACCTTACTTCTTGGTTTATCTGATTCCAAATTCCTCAGATCAATTTCCTCTTCTTCCAGTACTGCTTTACATGAAGCCATCTCTTCCTCTGGAGGATGCATTTGTAACGGATTAAAGTCAAATTCTTTACATTCCCTTTGAAAAACTTTCCAGAGTGCTTTATGTTCCTCTTTAAGATGCTCAAGCTGTTTCTTCTGCTCATCAAAATCTGCTGCAAGTTTAGTGTGCTCTTCCCTTTCTTTTTGAATTTTTGTTGCATCTTCTTTGCTAGCCAAAATTTCTCTCTGTAAGGCTTCTTTTTCTTTCTCCAATTGATTGATTATATCAATTTCATTGCTGTTATCCAGAGTTGTCTTCCTGTCCCCAGCACTTACATCAGCTTTGTCAGAATTAGATTTTCTCAACAATTCTTCCTTCTCTACAATTTCGGACTTAGCATTTTCAAGAGCCAGCAAAAGTTCAGAACGTTCCTCTTCATATAAACACGCCCTTTCATCAAGCACAGATTGCATATGAGCAAGCATACCGTCTTTTTCCTCTAAATATTTGAGATTTTGCTCACATATATTTTGTTTTTCAGCAATGACATCTCTTAGTTCTGCAAGATTATCCTGAAGTTTCTCTAAATAAGAGGCCTTTTCAGACAAAACTTCATTCAGATTACTTATTTGGGCATCTTTTTCTAGAATTTGTTGCTTCAAAGTTCCAAGATCAGACTCAAAGTCTTTATTTTGCACTTCAGCAAATTTTAGCTTGTCTGTTAATTCATTAACTCTCTTCAACAACTCCTCACTTTTTTTACGCTCTTTTTCTATTTCTTCCTGTCCATTCTTTTCTAGTTTTCCAACTTTTTGCATTAAATCTTTTCTTATCATCAATGCTGCTTGAAGTTTCTTTTTGAGATTGTCTTTTTCCTTGCCAATTTTCTCAAGATTAAACTGCATCTCCTCTTTTTCATTCATCACATCTTTAAACACAGCTTCTCTACTGTTTAACGTAACCTGACTATCCTCCAGTTCTTTCTTACAGCGTTCAAGTTCCTGCAACACTTGATTCAGTTCTCCTACAGAGCTATTATGAACAGCTTCAAGATCGTGCAATTTGGTATTTAATATATTTCTCTCTTCTGAAAATTTCAGCGTTTCACTAGACAATGATTCCATGACCTTGGTAACTGAACAATCCTTTTCCTTCACTTGCTGACTTAGACCAAGAATTAAGTCATTTTGCTGACTTATCTGGGAAGTTAAGTTTTCTATTAGTTGGTCTTTTTTTCCCATTTCTTCCAGGAGACTTGCTACTTTTTTACCTTCAGCCTTCAATTTCTCTTGGCTGTTTCTAACTATTTCTTCTGATTCATCTATCTTCTCCTGAAGAAATTCAACTTGCTTACTCACTTCTGCAAATGACTCTTCTCTTTCTTGAAAGAGAGACTGTTGTTTACATAATGTTTCTTTAACAGTGACTACTTCTTTTGATAGACATTCAATTTCAGATTTGTAGGTACATTTGATCTTTTCAATATCATTCTGCAGCAAATCCTTCTCTTTTTCAAGTGACTGCATATTTTCCAATTCATTTTTTAGGACATCCATTTCATTTTGTTTTTCTAAGAGAATCAGTTGCAATTGCTCTCTTTCTGCTTCTTTGCTCAAAATAGTGGCTACCAGGGTGGAGAAATTTTCCAACTGAACTTTAGTATCAGCTGGCTCCAGTGTGGTATCTGAAGGCTGTGCATTCTTTTCTGTACATAAAAGCCTACTACTCAATAATGCAGATAAGCTTTGAGCTAATTCCTTTTTTATTACATTCTGTTCTTGCTGTAAAGACTCAATTTTACTATCCTTCAATTTCATTTCACTTTCTAGACTGCGCAATTGTTCAGACAGACTACTGTTTTGTAAAGTTGCCCTATCAAGATCTGTCACCCATTTGTTTGACTCAAACAGATTTTGTTCTAGAGTTTCAAATTTATGTTCCAATTTAGCGAGCTCTTCATCCTTCACACTAACCTGCATCTGTAATTTCTCATTTTCTGTCTTCATCTGCAGTTTGATAGCATCTATCTCCATTCTTGAACAACTCTCACTTGTTTCTAGTTTTTCATTAATTTCTTGAAGTTCTTCCAGTTTCTTTTGTAAATGATCTTGTGATGCAACGAGTTGTGTGTTTTCAACTGTCAGTTTGTCAGCATCTTCTTGTAAGAGATTTTTTTCTTTCTCTAAAGAGTCTACTTGGTGCTGCAGACTAGCTATCAGTAGTGCTTTGTCATGGCAGTCTTGAGATGATTTAGAATTTACATTGTCCAACTCTAACTTTAAACGTTCTATATTTTCAGCCTGTTCAGCACACTTCACACGCAGAGACTCTACAGCTAATTCTTTTTCCTGTAAATCTTGTTTCCATGTAGTTATTTGGTCTAGTGCTTTCTGGTGTTCATTTTTTACATAATCAAGTTCAATTGTCAAAGAATCAATTTTCTTCTGATTAAAATCAAAGTTCTCACTCTTTTCCTGAAATTCCTTAGTAAGGCTTTTCATGGCTGCATCACTTTTCTCCAGTTCTGCTTTAAGAACCTCAATCTCACTAGAAAGAGTACAAACGTTGCTATCCGCCAACTGTATACTGTTATCTTTTTCCTTTAAGGAACTAAGCAGCCCAGTAATAACCTCTTCTTTTTCATTAAGGGCTGCATTAAGTTCATCTTTTAGTTCATACTCTGCTGCAATTTTTTCCTGAAGAGAAAAAAAGGCGTCTTCTTTCGTATGTACTAGTTCTTTTGATTCTTGTAGTTGTTGTGTTAGCTCATGTATCTGACTCTGAAGCTCAGAAATTGAATTTATTTTCTCTTCATCTTTGCTTGCTTTCTCATTCAGAGTTTTGAGGAGACTTTTGTTTTCCATAAGTGAAGACTCCTTTTCTAATAAGGACTGGCTGATCTCAGTTATTACACTTTTCTGATCTTGCACTTCTTTTTGTAGATTCATTTTCACGTTCTCCAACTCCACAACCTCTTTCTTTAAGACCTCACATTCATTCTCTTTTTCTTGAAGTTGTGTCTTTAACTTCTCGCTGAATAATGAAATATTATTGACAGTCACCTCTTTTTCTGAAACAAGCACTTTTAATTGTTCTGCTTCAGAGGTTAAAAGCTCCAACTGTTTCTGCTGCGTAACAGAAGCAGCCTGTATTTCAGAAAGGTGTGCTTTCAAACTGACATAGTCATCTAGCTTTTGCTTTAATGATTCATCCTTCTGTATAACTAAATCATTCAATTGGGCTGTTTTTTCTGTCATATTTTGAAGCTGATACTGAAGGTCAGAAATAACCTCCATATTCTCAGACAGTTGACCCCTAAGAACATCAGACTCCTCAGATTTATCTTTAAATAACTTTAACTCTTGGGCTTGCTTCTTAAAATCATTTTCTTTCTCCTGCATTGCTTGTCTAAGCTGACTGGTTTCCAAATTCAGGCCTTGTATTCCGTTTTGCAGATCAGAAATAATCTGCAAATACTGCAGTTCTCCTGCTGCTTTATTATCTTTCATTTGCTGGATCAAAACTCCTTTTACAGAAAGCAGACTTTCTTTTTCTGCAAGGGCAGCTTTTAACTTTTCTTTTTCAATTACTAGGCCATCAATTTGGTCCTTCAAAGCTAAGATATTATGACCTTGCTGAGACAAGTGAGAACTTAAAGCAGCTATTTCATCTGATTTTTTCATTATTGCAGCATTAACTGTTTCAATATCTACTTTCAACTTTTCATTTTCTAGAGTTGCTGCATGCGCTTGCTGCCTTGCTGAAATAGTTTCTGACTGGTGCTGTACCAGCTGTGACTGAAGAACATCGCATTCATGCGACTTCTCACTCAAAAAACTTGAAAGATCTTCCTTTTCATGCTTGAGGACATCAATGTCTTTGCTCAGTAAGTCTAACTGATTTTTTAATCCTGCACTCTCTTCCATTTGTTCAGAAACTTGCTTCTGAAACAACTCGAGTTCTGAACCTTGACTTTTTACAGTCAAGTCTCTCTCTTCTAGGCAATGAGACAACTTTGCGTTTTGATCTTTAAGATTTTTAATTTCATCCTGCAACTCTAAAATATAAAGTTTACTCTCTTCCATTTCCTTACGTAATGAACCATTCTCAAGGACCTCTTCTTCTAGAGACCTGTTCTTAACTTCAAAATCCGAAGTTATATTTTGAATTTGTTTCTCCAGTAATAAATTCTTTTCCTTGCTATGGCTGAGCTCTTGCATTAGCGTACCACATTCAGATAACTTATTATTTAACATTTCTTCTTTCTTTATTTCTTTGTCTCGAGTATCCTTCAGCTCAATGAGCAGTGATTGCACTTGTTCATGCAACTGTTGTGTCTGTTCTTTGCTTTCAAACAACTGCTCGGCTAGCACGTTACACGCCTCGGTTTTTTTCTGCAGCTGTTCTGCAACTGAATTTTCTTTTTGCTCAGCAAGCAGCGAAAGTTGTTCAATCTCTTTTACCAGAGTGTCTTTATCACTAGTTAGTATTGAAAGAGTTTTTTGATAGTCAGCAGTGCTAACAGATAACTTATTCTCTACTTCTGCCACAGCCTGGACTTTCTCTAACAATTCACGCTCTTTTATATCCAACAGTTTGGACAAACTCTCATTTTCACTGATTAGCTGCTGCTTCTCTTTTTCCATCACATTTATATTTTTTTTCAGATCTCCATTTGCTTTTACTTGCTCTGCCAGTTTTTCTTCTTTCTCCTCAAGATCTGCCTGTAACTGCTTATTAGCTGAAGATCTTTTTTGTGTTGCTATTTCCAGCTGGTTAATTTGTTTATGCATTTCACTTAATTGGTTATTAAGTTCTGTGCAACATGTCTCTTTGGCTTTCAGCTCTCCAATTAATTTAAACTTAGACTCTTCATTTTCCTGCTCCAAAAACCCAAGCTTCTGCTCTAATGACATAATGATCTCTTGTTTCTCTTGTAAGTCTTTTTCAATTGTTTTCTGATGTTCAGTGTGTTCTGTAAGCTGTCTGGATAACTTAGCCAATTCTTCATCTTTCCTAGCATCTTCCAAAATTAGCTTGTTATATGAATCTTTAACTGTTTTTAACTCATTTTCAAGTGCCTTTTCCTTACTCTCCTTCTCTTTAAGCAAACCGTTCCATTTTTCCTTCAGAGCATTATTTTCCTCAAGTTGAGTTTTCAAATATTCAGCTTCTTCTCTTTGTTTATTCTCCGTTTGTTGCAACTTTTCAGATGACTTATTAATTTGTTCTTTCAGCAAAGTGATCTGTGACTCGCACTCCATAAGCTTGTTATGGTGTGTGACATTGTTGGCCTTGATTTCAGAACGGAGATCCTTAATAGTAATGCTGTTCTCGGTGATTTGTTTTATTAACTCCTCATTTTCTTTGGTTTTAGCTTCATTCTCCATTCTAACTCTTTCTAACTCCTGTCCCACTGTATTACTCTTCTCTGAAAGGGCAGATATCTTTAGGCTAGCATCTCTTACATCAGCTGTTTGTACTTCTTTCAGCAAGTGAGTTTCCCTTTCAGCCTTTAATAAAGCTTCTTCCATTCCTCGTATTTCTTCCTCTTTGCATTGTATTTGGCACTTCAGGATGATAATCTGTTCAGAATATTCTGCCATGTTCAAGGACAGGACAGACACTTCCCTGTCCTTTTCTGCCAGTGTTTCCTTAAGATTATCAATTTCTCTTTCACGTCTCTGGAGATCTTGAATAAGTTGAGATCTTTCTTCTAAATGGCTCGTATTCAGTTTGTCAAGCTCTTCATTTGTCTGGTCCAGATCCAGCTGCATCGATTCCACTACACCATCTTGTTTCAAAGTCTAAACATGAGAAAACAATATTACAAGAAAACTTTAAATGTATAGCAGAAAAAGTTGCACTTCGCATGCGGAATTATTTATTAGCTGAACCAGTAAATCTCTCTCAATCCCTCAGCAAGTTACCCAAGTAACTGTATCATCATGATATAATCATGTGCTATCTCAGGATTGTATTAGCATTCAAAACAGTTAATGAATGAGATTTTTAGCAAGCAGTACTTTTTTTTTTTTTTTACTGTCAACATGTCAAAAGCTGAAAATACTTTTTTCCTTACTTTCCTTCCTTACTTTTCCTTACTTTTCCCTTACCTTTTCTTTCAGAGTAGCAACCTTTTCTGTTAGGTCATTGATGACTGATTTCTGCTCAGTATTCTCCACTTCATATGCACTGCATTTCTTTAAGACTTCATTGAGCTTAATATTAAAAAATAAAGGCAACATGATAAAATATATCAAGTTACAACTTTCATTACATTTTAAAATGTAACACGGAGCTTACATAACATTGAAGTTTATTTCTTGAAATTAAATTAGAAGAATAACTTATTGGAAGAATAAAACACAAATATTTTTGTGTAAAACAAAAGAATACTTAATTGTCCAAAGCAACACAAATAGAACTCTGTGTTGGGTGTAAGAAATCTTTATACTCAAGTTGAAGTAAAGCAGTTATATGAAGTAACAACAGTGAAAGCTTTCAGACAAGAAAAACAGTAGTATTACTGCTGGACCAGAAAAAAGTTAGAGACCATTAAAGAAAAGCTTTAACTTACTTTTTGCTCAGAATGCACTAACTTTTCACCAAGCTCTTTGTTCAGAAGATCCTTTTCTTGAAGTAGTTTCCTCAAAGTTTCCATTTGCTCTAGTTTTTCTGTTGTGCTCAACAGTTTTTGCTCTTTTTCCCCAAGAGAAGTTTCAAGAAAGCTATTTCTGTCAGTTAAACTAACAAAAAATATGTATTTAGAGCACTGAGAAGTTTGTTTGGGAAAAAAAAGTCTGCTATAATCTTTCTAGGCTTATTAACTGCAAACTATGTTCCTAAAAAATTATTTATATACTTTACATTTAAGCTTACAAAAATAATATGAACCAGAAACAGGAATCAAGTGACAATTGCTAATAGATTATACTCCCTATAACTCATTAGGCATTTCATCTTAAAGCAAAGAAAGCTAATCCTGCATAGAGCTGTAAAGAACATTTATTTTACCCTTTCAGTTGCTCATTCAAGCCAGAGATTAGAATTTGATGCTTCTCAGAATCTCGTGTTTGCTGGTTACGTAATTGAGCAAGCTGAGCTTGCAAACGCTCATTTTCATTCTGCAACAAAATAATAATGAAGAGAATTATTGCTCATAAAGACACAGTGTAAGAGAACCGGAGTCCTAAAAACCTTCCTCTTTAGGGTATTTGCCTCCTGAACAGCAACAGAGAAGTATTCTAGCATATAAGCAGATATCAGTGCAAAAATACAACAGTAAAAACACGCACACACACTCACACTGTGTTAAGGTAGCTTACTTATCTTTAGGGAAAGTTAGTGCTTTGAAAGAATAATCTCCACATTGGTTTGAAGACAGTAGGAAAACAGCAATTTTCTCCATGTATTTTTTTTCAGGTTGAAGGAATGCAAAAACCTGCAGGAGACTAGAATAATATACGGGCATTTGTGGAGATAAAGAAGAAGAAAGCAAGCTGCATTCACACAGCCAGTGTTTTTGCACAGTGTAAGCCTCTATCCAGATTCACTGCACCAATTCAGAAGTAAAAACCATAAAAAAAAAAAGCAACATCAGCCAAAAACCAAAACCAGAACACAAATCCAAAAATCAACGGCAAATAGGACAAACGTGGCAAACTTGTCACCTCTACTGAAAATGAGCTACCGCTTTGGAGGATCAAAACACACCTGTACTGCCCTCAATAGCTGCCCTTCTTCCTCTACATCAAACGTTACCTGTATTGAAAGGCTTTGTTACAAGAGTCTCAAATACTAACACAACAATGTCTTTCATCTCGGTATTAACAATAAATTCATTTTTACACATGCATTTAACAAACACCCATGAGAATGATGAAAATCATGTTGCCTTTCAGCACGTTCCAGTAACAAACAAGAAAGCTTCCGTCCAAATTGCTTCACAGTTTTCTTTCATGTGATGACTTAGGTGACAACAGGCTTAGGTGACAACATGATACACTGAACGCATCCTCTTTTGCAACATGCAGTACAAAACAGGTTTGAGATACCTTTGCTAGATAAAAATAAACACTTTTACCTTATTGTAAGCCATGACTGTAAGAATATAAAGTGAGAATTAAATTTGCTTCGCAGCAAGTTTTACACAACTTCAAAAGCTCACCTGAAGAGCCTCCATTCTACCTTGAAGCTGCAACCTATCTTCCAAATCCCGACAACGCTCCTCCAAACACAGGATTTGCTCCTGCAGTTGATTTCTTTCCAATTCCAACTCTTCAACTACAGTCCGTAAGCCTACTTAAGTCAAAAAGGAAAAGTTATATTTAAACAAAAGATCTTCAAAAATTCCTCAAGTCTAGAAATGGCTTTCAGTTTTACGTTCTCATTCTCATTGATGCTGGGCACATTCTGCTCCCAACCATTTCCAAAGGGTCCTGCACATCCAGGAAGTAGAGAACATAATAAAATCAAGCTGCATAGCTCAAATTTAGAGAATTTAGCAAAAGTTCCTATCCAACTCCTATCCTAGTACCTCAACCAGTAATTTGGCTCATGTCAGTTTAATTACTAGTTAATCATGTACTTGTAGGATCTGATTCTAGAGAGATATTAATACACTGGATTGTATCAAAATTTGTAAGAGAATCAACTCCATTTTACCAATTAGATGCAATCCAGACTTTGTCATGGATATAAAAAAATGCATTGAGAAAATTAGACCTCTGAGGTTAAAACTGAAACAACAGAGTATAATTCTGATCCGCAACATAGAGTCATGCAAGTTGGAAACACCTTCACAGAAACAAGACTAATAACTTAAAACACAGGATATAAAAATAGGATATTTGATGGGCACCAGGGCTCATCTAAGCCCAGTGTTTAACCATATTTATATCCTACTTTTGAACCAAAACTAGGCAGTTCATCCAGCACGCACATGCTTCAAAATGAAACATAATAAAATGGAAGCCAAAGAAATTCAACAAAGATTAGAGTACACCACAAATGGCCTGTTAGTTGAATTTGAAAACAAAAATACACAGATGTTGTGCATGCTTTAATAAACTGTCTAGTTGCTATCACACCTGCATTAGGTGAAGTGTACTCTGGCCACCAACCTCCCATGTTTTCTCCTTCAGCAGAGTCAGTGCTATCCAAGGTGACATTCAACTCTTGAAAACATTCTTTTCTATCAAAGCTGTATTCTTCCTATGCACAAAACATGAAAACGAAGTTTAAAAGAAGAAAAGAATCAGGGCTAAAATACATATTTATTAAAAAGATATTTTCAGGTAAAAATCCTGAAGCTCAGCAAGTGACTCAGGCGCTAATATAAGCATGTAGTGTCACTGTGGACCCGAGAGTAACTGCCCAGGAGCCAGCTACTGAAAAGCCAAAGTCTCCCACAGGTTTTATATAATCTGCCAGGCCTCTGAAGACACCCACAGGCACCTAAAGCTCAAGGGATAGCTACCTCTGCATAGCACTTGCACCCTAGATTTCTACAGTTAATAGGGTCCTCTGAAACTCAAAGTAGTAGAGCTAACAAACATAAAGCATTCTTCCCATGAAGCAGCAACACAGCACTGATACCCTTAATTCATCCCACAACAGATTATGATCTTTTTTTCTTACAAACAACATCATTAACTACCTAGAAGACGCTCTGAATGATCTGAAAATATTTACACATTATTCCACAATGAACCACTGACAAAAAAAAGAAAAAAAAAAAAAAAACACACAACCCACAAAGACTGTATTTAGACCAAAAAGAGCCTGTATATTAAACCCATACATAGATTCAAGAATGTGAATTGCTTCATATGATCGCTTTTCATTATTTCAGGGTAAAATTGAGCAGATTCATGTCTCAAGAAAAAGAAAGATATGATGCCACTAGAGTTTCTCATCCTCTGGCTACACACACAATCATTTATTTTATCATCAAAACCACTTATTTACGTCTGGCTACATTTCAGTTACATCCATGATCTAAAAACGTAAGGGCTTAGGAACCCAAGAGCAAAGCACTACATAAATAACAAAACTTTCCATGTTTCTAATTAGCATACAAGTAAAAACAGACTCTCATACCCTCTGACCCACCTGAAGCTTCCTGGTGGTCTGGTTAGTTTTTCTTCTTGCCTGGTGCAGCCTGCCAATTCCTTGAACTGTGGTCAGTTCCTCCTCCAGCTCCTGTTGCCCTGAGACTATGGCTGGATCAGAGCAGCCAGGAAAGAACCAGTCATCCTCAATCAGTTTTGTGCCACAGGAAAGCAATTACATTTATATCAGACACTACTACACAAAAAAAAAGGCCAGGGACAGACTAAAGTCCCTATGAATGAATAACAGAAACAAGATTACAGAAGCAATCCGTTGCATTCACCTTGAGATTTCCCTCCAACAACGCTATGCAGGACACAAGAGTAATGTCTGCTTATCTCACTAGGAAAAAGCAACTGGATTCTAAGTTCATTTATTCATCAGTTCTAAAAGAAGACTTTATAGAAGAGACTGGGAGGGGTAAGGTTATATTGATACAATCAATTAAAATGCCCAGTTACACTTCATTTCAATTTACCAGGTTAAAGTGCCTAATTTGTATAAAAAGCCACCAGCCCAGACAGCTGTGATTTTTATAAGCTTAACATTTACATGCATTTCTATCAAAATGAGATGTGTCCTTTAATTTTAGTGTTAGCTACAAAGTCGGATAATTCAAGGAAGTCACAAGCATGTGTTACAGTGCAAAGTGGCATCAAATCATCCTATGAGACATCAATACCACCCTTTCAAGGCAAATACAGAATCACTTGTAAATACATACACTAAACAAATTAAGAATATGAAAGCTTAAGTACGTATCCTGTTCATTGTTAGAAATGAATTCTCATTTTAAGTACATTCCCATCTGTTTTGTGATATGACAAAACATGTTTGGGGTGGCAGATTAGGAAACAGATGCTTCATGCAAGGTAGACAGATGCTTCATGCAAGGTAGACAAAACAGAAAAGCCAGTGCAAAGGAATGAAAACAAAGGTGGCTCCATACTTTAACTGAAGAGGTAATTAGCATTACATATACTTGATTTTCAGCTTAGCCATATCAATCCACTGCTATCCTTACAGTACATGAAATTCAGGAAACTGGTATCTCTGCACCAGTGAGGTAAAAAACAAACTGTTAGGAGATTCAGTCCCACTGAGAATTCTCAGATTTCATCCAAGCTGTACCAGGATGACTTGGACCACAAATGCTACTAAAACACGCTTTAGTAACACCCATTAACTGTTATTAGAAGTTGATGGCTTCAAAAACCTTTTCAGTAGGACTGCTAAACTGGATCTTACACTGCGGCTTCTTGCACTGTCACTTCATCAGTGCTTGCTTCGCACACCTCCATTTTCAAGTATGGATTCTAAAATTAAGAGTCATAATACACATTTCTTCAAAGTCATAAAAATGTCTTTCTGATCCCATATCTTCTACCTCTTTTTGCAAGAAGTATCACTGTAAGTCAGGACAATCCAAGGATTGTTCTTATTTCAAATAAGACTTTGATCCCTTCCTTGAGGAAACAAATCTAAACTTTATAAAGTTGATCTTCATGCAAGCTATTTTTGAAAATAATCATAAAGTACGATACATGGTCCTTTAATAACCCAAACTACCAAATACTTGATAGTGCTGGCAGGGGTGGAAGACAGACAGACCATTGTCATATTAGAAATGACAATAGCAATGGGGAAATAATTTTTCTTATTTGAAGGTATTAGAAATCAGAGCTTTAGAATGATTTAGGCAAGTATTAAAATGCTTAGAGTAAAATTCATCACTGCTTTAACAACAGTTAGTAAGCAAATATATCTTCTAATGTTTTAGAACCATTTAAGTGGCCTCTGATTGGCAATTATATTAGCATAAAAACTGAAACACTCTCCAAAAGACATTTCTTCTGATAGACACTGTATTTAAATCAACTATGTGTCTACATTTCTTGACTATTCAAGCTAAATAGCACAATCTCTATTAGTTTGAAAGAGCAAGCCACAGTCTGTACATGTGATTAATACCAGCATCCTCTAGGTATCTCCCTTAGCTAGCTCCCCACACATTCAAACAAAGCCAAGTGCCATCTATGGCAGATTTCCATTGTTCCACGAATGGAATCATTGGTAGTGTTAGAAATTGATTAAGATATTAGTACTATTAATGCATGCAAAGGTCTGCAATTTATGGGAGGAAGTTTTTTTTCTTTTAAAGTGTCACTGAATTTCATGTACTCTTAAAAAGTATCTAAATAAATTTGATTCTTACTTAGTTAACAGTAATGGCAGCAAGTCTTTTTTTTTCCCTTAATTAAGGTTACAACATAAATATGGAGTCAGCTATTACTATAAAGAAGAATGAAGAAAGATGATTCAGTTAATGTAAATGAAGTCATAGGCATTGCAAGGAGAGGGGAAAAAAATCCAAGATAAAAAACAGCATTTGTTACATGTATTACTAAAAACCACATACCATCAATGACAATCTTGTAAGGTACTGTTGGCAATTTCCTCAAATTAGGCATCAACAGAAGAAATCAGCAACAGTATTTTACAAGTTGCCATTGCTGCAGGATCCTGCATGCACAAAACTGATGGGAAACTACGTTCTCCCTGGCTGACCAAATCGCAGTGGAGGGTAGGAGTGGAGGGGGAAGGGACGCTGAGTGCTCATCAGGTGTAACGGCAGGAAAAAAAGAAACAGAAAGGTCATGCTTATCGCAAGGGGAAAAAAAGCAAAATTAAACACGGACTGATACGGATGAAATCGTACAATGTTATTAATATTGCATGTGGATCTGCAGTTGCCACGGATTACAGGTACTTATAGTGAAGGGAACATTATCCTCGTTCAATGCCCAAAGCACGACGTGGGTAATTCCCTCAGAAAGGGACATGATTCTTAAAACATTTGCGTGCTTATGCATCGAACTTTAAGTTGATTGTATAAATGAGAAATAATGCAATCGCAGATTAAAAGAGACTGCCCAAATTAACTAACTTAATTATAATGGCAGACTGTGCACATTAAAATGTGCCACTGCAGTTAAATAAAAGGAGAAAAGTTATTATAAGTACTAGATGACACCGAAAATGAACATTAAAACTATCTCAAAATTAACTTAAATTTTTATAGTTTTTCCACAGGAAATACATCATTTTCTCATTAACTGTTTTATCCATAATTCAGGAAATTTTAAAACTTCAGATTACTTGACATATTAATACTTTCTGTAGGTAACCAAAAAAAAATTTACCAGTCCCAAATAATTGCTAATTATTGTTATTCAGGTGATCTTTGCAAGTGAAATGTATTAATAGATTACTAAATGCTTTAAGAAGGTTTCTATTTAAAGAGATCTAGAACAAGCTTGCAACTCGGGTACACTTTTTTTTTTCCCCCCTTTTCTTTTTTTTTCTTTAAAAAAAAAAAAAAAAGGAAAGAAAAAGAAAAAACCATCTCCTACCATGAAATTCTAACCAACACTATAGTTCCTGTTCTTACGTAGCCAGTAAGCTTCTGAAGCAAGTTCAAGGGATCTTAAAGAGCAGCAACTCAGACTGCAAATAAACTAAGCACATCTACTCATAAAATTGATACAAAAAGGATGAATGTATGAAAAGGATTCAAGGAAATAGGACAAAGCAGAAATCGCAAGTTCCGGCAATTTCACTAGCTACATACAACTTATGACCACGTGAATGAATCACGATGGAATATCGACTTAATCGAAACTTCTGCAGACACAGATGATTTAATCACCTAGTTTTATCGGAAATAAAATAATTCACCTTCTCTCTCCTCTTCAATCTGAGCCATTCTCAAGGCCATGGCAGACTTAACCTCTCTGACTTGATCACGGGACTCCTCTGACTCTGGCACAATCTCTTGCCATTCCAACAGCTGACTCTGCAATTCATCCACACTGCCCGATTCGCTGGCCTAACAAGAGAGAAGTTGGGCATGAAAGACACGTTTACCAAATCCCATTGCAAATATCAAAGATACTCTTGGCAAACTATTCACAGAGAAAACAAGCCATTATGATTCATCGCTTTGTACATTATATAAAAAGCAAGCCTTGCCATTTAGGACAATGTAGAATACTACTATTTCCCCCTTTAATATGAAAAAAGCAAAAGGAGCTTTTTTAACTAACATTTTTGTTGCACACATTCATCTTCAATAATGTCTCATAGTTAAATAAAACCTTTATTTATTTATTTCTGTGGGAAATTATCTTTTATCTTAACCAGGATTAGCAAAAAATTTTCCATCTTCCCATAAACATAAGAACTACTTAAAGATTTTGCCTCACATTAAGCATCCCAACTTATCTAAAAAATTAGAAAAAGAAATAATGGGGGGGGAACATAGTAAACAGAACTAAATTAGTTCTGCTGCTAGTAAAAAATTACTGTGATTAACATAGATAGCTGAAGTTTCCTGGTAAAATTTTCTGATTCTTCTTACTTTGTCATCTGGACTTGTGCATTTGTTAAGATTTGTGTTGTTATTTGCTTGCTGAAAGCTATCCAGATTGCACAGAAAATAGCAGCGACATTTGATAACTTATGTGAAATGCAACTAAAAAATAATAATAATAAAAAGGAAACCATTAAGATAATGTAATGAAAAAGTCAGTAGAAATCAAACTCGAAGCAGCCCAAATCTTGTTACACAACTGTCCAGTTGCTGACATCACGTCAGCTTTGTATACTAGTGAATTATTTTCCAATCTAAGTTCCGGTTAACACACCTTCACTTTGAAAGTGCCATTAGCACCATTTGAGCTAATAAATCATATATATTGGCTCATATAAATCAATTTTAAGCAGTTAACCTGTGAAGCAGCTCTCTTTGTAACTTGGTCAAGATCAGCTTGCAACTTCCTTTGTTGCTCTTCATAGACTTCCAGTTTGGCCAGCAATTCTTCTACAAAACCCATACATTAGGTTCATTAGGACACAAAACTAACAGGTAGATCAGTCAAAATTTGAAAGTAGCATTCAAAACTAAAGTTCAGGTAAGGATTCATTTCAGCTGAAAAAATTCTGCTGGGCTCCTAGGCTCTGTTGCCATCTTATTACTAGATGGATTTTAACACTGAAGAATGCTTTAAATTTAAACAACTTACTGGTGGACTGAAAACACCCCCATCTTCAGTTTACAGAAAGGAAATTTTAGAGAAAATATCACGCCATGAAACAAAAAGCCCCTCAGAGCTTCATTTTAAACTCATCAAGGGCTGATGTATCATGCACGGATAGACTGAGGGAAGGAAAAGCTGACTTGTAACTCTGACCGAAGCACTCTATGCTATTGTTCACATTTACATGAAACTACTACATAATATGTAAACAAAAAAAAAAACCCACAGAATTAAGCATTTAAAAATTAATCCTGCTAAAATGAACCCAAGAAAATCCATTCATCTTTGTCACTTTACTTTTGAATCATTCTGAGTAGAAAACAAAAAGCAAGCAAATCATTTTTTATCTTTACCATTTTGAGTTCTCATTTCACGTAATGACTGCAGTTCTGACTGCAGTTCTTCCTTTTCAGTCTCTAATTCCGAGACACGATTATTTAAGGCAGATATGTCATTATTCTTTGATGAAAACTAAAAGAGAAAACCATTAAAAGTATCAAGATATGAAAAACACAGAAGAGTCAATGTAACTTTTTAAATTACTTTTTAGTAAGATTTGGAATAGCTACTTTTCTAGTATTGAAAGTACTAGCGAGTCTTTAACAGATTTACTCTGCATGACAGTGATACCACTTGATACTATGTTTTGTTGAAACTTTCTCTTGTAACAACATTTAACATCCATTCAGGTTTTATATATTTATTCGTATGTAAGGATACCTTGGAGGAATTATTTTAATATTCTATGCACATTATATTTTACTTTTTCCAATCTGATCTACAAATTCAAAAACAGGCATTTAAAATTAAATACAAAATGTTACACATACATTTTTCAGTTCATCCTCCAGTTGTTTGATTCTTGATTTAGACCAAGCCTTCATTTTCAGAAACTTAGCTTCAGATTTGCTGGCCTCTTCTGCTTTCAATTTCACTTGTTCTAAGAAACAGACATGAAAAAATAACTTTTAATCCCTAGAAAGATTATTAATGCAATTACAGTATTTTTCAAGACTTATGTTTAGCTCCATTACTAAAAGCAATTAACATTTCTATGAGACAATTTAGGCAGCCTTAGCATTTAAAAGAAAAAAGTAACACTGGGAAATGTGGGAAATGTAGGCTGAAATTTATAGTTCATGAGATTGTTATGCCAGTAGCCTCCATCATCATAGGATTCGAGTACTGGAAGTTCCTAATTAGTTTGGCAATAACTCTTTCATTGAATCTGATGAAGTTCTATGCACAAGAGGTATAAATCTGGCATACAACAGGTAATAGTATGGAAAAGGCACCATTTGCATGTAAGGACTAGATTTAAATAGGATACCTTCCAATTCTTCCATCTTTTCTTTAGTGACAGATTCCAAATCTCTAACTTCTTTTGAATTATTCTGTCCATTACCACTTAACTCTGCCACTTGTTTCTTAAGCTGAAATAGAGCCTGATCTTTCTCTTGCATCTCTGTTTCATGTTTCTCTTGAATTTCATGCAATTCAGTGGTGTATTTCTCCTGGATTTTTGTCATTTCAAGCTCGTGCTTCTCCATCATATCTCTTAGCTGGGCTCTCATTACATGCTTCTCAGCATCCAGTTTAGACTGGAGGTTTTCCTTTTCAGACAGGAGACGTTTCAGGTTTTCATTAATCCCCTGTTAAAGAAAAGTATATATTTATATATATATATGTATATATATATATATTTTTAACATAACGCTTCTTCAGTAACACTGTCAAATATATATCATCTGCATTCCTCTCCAAATGTTGTAGTCAAAAAATCAGTGCTTCTGTTGGTCACCTGTCGCTACCACAAATCAGTTGCGACTTTGCAAGGCATTAGCGGAGACTCTAATAAAAGGACATCATGATTTGAGTCAAAAATACATTCAACATGTTCTATAGGTCAATGGAATAAAAATAAAGTTCCATAAATAAGAAAGCATGTTTGGTTCTAGGCAGTATTATCTATTATCTATGCAGTATTATCTATTATCTATTTGGTTCTATGCATTATTATCTATGCAGTATTTAAAAAATAAATGGAAGATGATGTCTCTAACAGTGATACCAAAGAGAAAAAATGCTGGCTGGCTACAATTCCATCCCAGTGTTGTTACTTGCCTCCTAAAAAATTAAAGAAAACAAATTGTGGTCTAATTCATCTTCACACTATTGCTAGTTCTCTTTTATTGCTTACTCCATTTTAAATGCCTTCATATAAGTTATTTTAATACACAAATTGGCAGAAAAGACTCCAGATTGACATAATGGAAAAGTCTACTTACATTAGACATACTGTACAAAAACTTTCATGATATATAAAGCTTTCGTACACAGGAATATAAACTGTCCAAGTAAAGAAATTGTGCAGAAAACAGAGTGAATATTTTCAAAACATAATTAAAACTATTTATGAAAATAGAGCTTTTATGCATTTATTTTTCTTAATGCTAACGCTGAGGTGGCCTTCCCACTTAAGCTGCTTCAAAATTGATGATGCCACAGTCCAGCCTTCCTCCTACACACAGGGTGCACGTTTCTGTCCCAACAGTGTGTTAGCACTACACTACCATTTACTCCTCCAGTAACTCTGTATAGAAATATATGCCTAATGTAGACAAAAATCTACCTCAGAAGGTTAAAGAAAAAAAAAATTCTCAGCATAACGCAAATGACAAGAATGAATGGAAAAGACAAATGAAGCATGAATTTACGTAGGCTTAAATTGCCATGGTACTTAACTACCTGAGCAGGACATTACAAATCACCTCTACCTGACTACATAGTTAAAACAATTTCTAATAGATTTTGATTCTGACAGCCCCCTTAGGATGAACATTTGCCGAGAAGACTACAGCTAAAATGCTGGATGTAGTACCCACCATTTCCTAGGCAAGCTATAATGTGCCTGTTTCAGCAAAGAGTCCTAAAACCCTATCTGAGAGATCACAAGGTCCTTTTTCTACATTGCTGAACTGAAGAGGCAGCACTCAAAGCTTCATATGTTAAGCACAAAAACCTTGATAAGCTTGATTGCAATCAGTAGAAAAAATTTCAAAGCAAAAGCATGCCACTAGTAAAACATGCTCTTCAAAAAACCTGAGTTTTGGAGTTCCAAAACAGTAGTTAACTACTTTGGAGCTTATCAGAAGAACTGAAATCTTTGGCAGCAAAAAGCCTTCCTTATGTGGCAAGTTCCCAACATGAATAAAGACAAGCTAAGGGAATCATGTGACAGTGTTACGTTTTACAGGCTTTAAATTTCCTTTAAGTTTGTTTCCTAATTGAAATTCATATTTGATTGCCTAATTATGGCTGCGTTGTTAGCACATACCAAAGCCTCCCAGAGCACTGGGCAAACACTACATGCAAAATTGTCTTTTGTACACAGCTAAATAGCTTTCTGAACCTGTAACTGACCAGATAAGTTGAGTAGTCCATATAAGCTATTTCTTACTTTCAATTGCTGGTCCTTGGCATCCAGTTCTTTCTGCAACATGTCTATGACCTGTGTCCTTCCCAGCATGACTTCTTCTTTTTCATGGAGCTTCTGTTTCAAGGCCTTTAGTAGCTAGCAATAAAAAAATAAAAAATAAATTAAAAAAAAAATCAAGCCATCAGTAAACAGTTTTGTCAGTTCACAGACTGACAAAGTGGTCGGGGTTGGAAGGGATCTCTGAAGATCATCTAGTTCAATCCCCTTGCTCAAGCTAGGGCACATCTCCAGGGATTTTGTCCAGGTGGCTTACATATATCTACAAGGAAGGACATTCTGAAACCTCTCTCAGCAACTTGTTGCAGCGCTCAGACAAAGCTCATAATAGAGAAGTTTATCCTCATGTGCAGATGGAATTTCCTGTGTTTCAGTTCTTGCCTATTGCATCTCATCCTATTTTTGGGCACCACTAACAACAGTATGGCTCCATCCTCTTTATACCCTCCCTTCAGATACATATTGATAAGATCCCTCAGTTCTCCAGGCTGAAGAGCCCCCGCTCTCTCAATCTTTCCTCATATGCGAGAGGCTCCAGTCCCTTAATCACCTTTGCTGGACTCACTCCAGTAACTTCACGTTTGTCTTGTGCTGCGGAAGCCAGAACTGGAAAGAGCAGATGAGGCCTCACGAGGGCTGAATACAGGGGGAGGATTATCTCCACCAACCCGCTGGCAATACTCTTCCTAAGGCAGGCCAAGATCCCAAGGGCCTTCTTAGCCACAAGGGTACATTGTCGATCCATGGTCACTCGGCCACCATGACTGCCAAATCCTTCTCATGGATTCACAGAATGCAGAATCACAGTGTCACAAATGCAGAATCACGGAATGTTTAAGGTTGGAAGGGACCTCTAGAGATCATCTAGTCCAACCCCCACCCTGCACACGCAGGGACACCTAGAGCAGGTGGCACAGGACTGTGTCAAGCGGGTTTTGAAGATCTCCAGAGAAGGAGACTCCACAACCTCTCTGGGCAGCCTGTTCCAGGGCTCTGTCACCCTCACTGTTAAGAAGTTCTTCCTCATATGGAGGTGGAACTTCCTGTGTTTGAACTTACACTCGTTACCCCTTGTTCTGTCACCAGCATCCACAGAGAAGAGCCTGGCCCCATCCTCCCTACAATCATCCCTCAGGTACTTCAACGTGTTAATCAAATCTCCTCTCAGCCTTCTTTTCTCCAGACTAAACAGGCCCAGCTTGCCTAGTCTTTCCTCATACAACAAAACTCCAGTCCCTTAATCATCTTCGTGGCTCTATGCTGGACCCTCTCTAGAAGCTCAATGTCCTTCTTGCACTGGGGTGCCAAGAACTGCCCACAATACTCCAGGTGCAGCCCCAACAGAGCTGAGCAGAGGGGCAGGATCCCCTCCCTCGACCTGCTGGCAACGCTCCTCCTGATGCAGGCCAGGATCCCATTGGCCTTCTTGGCCACAGGGCACATTGCTGCCTCATGGTTAACCTGTTGCCAACCAGGACTTCCAAATCCCTCTCCACAGAGCTGCTTCCCAGCTCCTCATCTCTCATGCTGTCCTCGTCGTTACAGCTTCTTCTCCTCATTCTCTCTTTCAGAGAAAAGAAGAAAAAGACTCATCTTTATTTTTTCTCAACCAGGTATCTGGAATTGTGGCACAAAAATTAAGTTGTATGATTCCAAATTTCCCAAGGCTCACTAAGTCAAAGGAAGCTAAAGTGTTCCCAAACTAACATACCTGTTCCAGGTCAGCACTTGCATCAGATTTAGCAGCTAACCTAAAGAGCTCCTGCTCATGCTTTTCTCTCTGCGTTTCCAGTTCCTTTTCCTTTTCTTGGATAATATTTTGAAACACACGAATCTGAAAACACATAAAATTAAATATGAAACCACTCCATAATGATATATTAAAAGTACACCGAATTACCTAATCAAAAGCACAGTAAGATGTCATTAAATCTTAAGTCTGAATTTTGCTTCCACTTAACAGTCTGTATCATGTTGAAGAGATTATTGCTAGTCCTTGTTAATATCACAGATCTTCCCTTCTTGGATGCCATGTTCTGGTACTTAATTCATCTTCAAAAGTTCACATAGACTACAACCATTTCTAGCATGTTTCTATGAATTAATACCAAAGAGCAGCTCTGAAAACTAGCCACCTCCCTGTCTTTGTTAGCTACCCTATAAAAATTGTAAGAACTGGATATAAATTAGGGGACCTTGCTAGTAATATTTTGAATAAAAATTCAAGATTCTTTTTCAACGTAAATATTTTTTCACATAAAAGTCCTACCCAGTTTTTTATATGGGTGAGTACACAGTGTTCATTAAGAATTTTATAGTCACCAGTGTTTCTCTTCCTTTCAAAAATAATACCTATGTGGTAATAAACAAGGGCTAATTAAACTTAGTCAGGTTCATGATCCAAACTAGTGTTTCTGGTACATGTCAATAAAATCAAACATCAAATTGTCTGGGCAATACTGAGATGAAGTTTTATACATGGCAAAAATCAAGATCTGAAGTGTCAAGTACATTACATCTATATCAGAGACTTGACTTTAAAATGAGTTGTAAGAGCCTAGCATGAAGAAATTGATTTTTTTTGTTTGTTTGTTTTTGTTTAAAAAGGGCTTTGACTTTGTCCTGGCCTGTTTACCAGATGCTGACTTTTCTAGAAGAGTTCCCCAACTGGTATACCAAACTTTTTCAGCTTTTTCGCCCCCCGCAAAGCCAATCCAAAGACCCCAAAGGAAGATGCTTTTTTGTTTTCTTCAGTGCACCCATGCATGTGCCAGACAGCTCACAGACAGGTGTGGAGGTTGTTCATCTAGAACTCTGCACAACTCCTTTTACCCTGCTGCATGCTAGCTTCTCTGTTGCCAATGTTAAATCCCTAAATTCCTTTTTCATAAAATGCTTTCATCTTCAATTATCACCAGCAAAAAATACCCAGTGTCATTATTCTGATCTCATCTAATCACCAGTTCAATCTGCACTCAAGAATCCTACAAAACCAACAATGGCTTTTCTTAGTGAAGACAGAAGTTCTTGAGATAGTAATCTTGCTGTGCTGTCACTATTTCTTCCAACAAAGAATGTAAACACTTTTACAGTTACACTTACATTTTCCATATACGTGGCTTCTCTTTCTTGGAAACGCTCTCTTTCTTTATTATGAATATTTTTAAGACTTTCAATCTGTTCCTGGAACAAGCTACATTTTTCTTCACTGTCTCCAACCTTCTTGGTAAGATTGTGAACCAGAATTTGCATGCTTTGCAGTGATGATTCTTTCATGGACAGCTGATTCTTCAAAATGCAAACCATAAAACAATTAGAAAAGCAACACAGAAAAGGTCAACTACTACTACCTTCTCCAGTTAAAGCATTAAAATCTAAATTCAGATCTAGTTGAGTGAAAATTGTCAGCAGTCCCCTAAGTTGATACTAATAATACTACAAAACACTTCAATATTTTCCTAAAAATGATTCCAGAAAAGAAGCAAACAAATGCAGAACTATTAATGTAAGTTAAAATAATCAATGGGGAAATTTTATTCACGTGAATAACTGCTGTTATTCAGAGGATTTGTGCCTCAGAGCAGGATCCACAAAATCTGCCGATTCCTTAAAATTTTAAGATTCCTTGAATTTTATAATTCAGTTTCTAAAATGATACCTTCAGTTCTTCATTAGGCAGGAATATTTCACTACCAACACCACCTGATCCACATGCCATTTGTAAATCAATGATGTAGGCATCTCTTTCAGCCAACTTCTTTTCTCTTTCTGCCAGCATGGTATCCATTTCTGCCCCTCGACACTGCTGTGCCTCCAACTCGACATTCTGAAATGGAAGAGCCAGCATTTAACCTGTACAGCTATCATCTACAGCACTGAAGATGGGATTGCATTGTTCATCTCCTTACGGCTTACTTTAGGATACTGGAACAATTAATGCCAAACATACAGCCAGAATTTATTTTGACTGTTAGGTTTAATTACTAACCCTTTCTCTCTGAAGCAAGGCAGCATTCATATTCATGCAACTTCCCACAGACAACAGTGACATCCACAGACCAGATCACTGCACAGAATTATAAACCATAAAATGAGATAACTCCTTGCTTACATTTCTTCCTGATATGACTTATTTTTTTCACAACAATAAAAATCTGAATGAAAATGCTGTTTTGTATCTAAGTGAGAGATTTAAAGCTACCATATATAGAACTAACATTAACCCACAAAGTTCTCATTTCTGTTTGCCTCCTCCATTCATTTTCAAGCTATAAAAGCACATTTTAGGACTCAGCGTTCAGTGAAGACACAAAGGACAAAATTCTCACTGGCCAGGCAGGTTACTCTTTTCTCAGTAGAGAACATTCTCAGCATCTCTCTCTAATCCTTAAATATAGCCCTACACAAAGAATGTGAAAAAACATACTTAACATCTTATAAAACCTCACCTTCTTTTGCAACTCTTCATTTTTTTGTATGATCTGGGATTCTAGTTCTTCAATTCTCCTTTTTAGTACTAATATTTTCCCACGATTTGCAGCGGCATTTTCCTGGTCACCTTCTCTTGATGCCTGCAAAGACAGGGAGTTCTACATTCCATAACTAGGTAATGACTGGCGTCTGCACCTCTACCTATTCAAACAGTACTGGTGGAAGAAAAGGTGAAGTTTACTCAAGGTTCATGTTTCAGTTCTCTCATATTTTAAGTATTCCAAATAGAAACTAGCCAAAGCAGAAACAGTATCTATATCAAGCATCAAAAAAAAAAAACTTTAATTTTTAATGATAGTCATTGATGCAAAGTGGACTGAAACACGCAACAAGGGCATATAATTCCTCTGACAAGCATAATCTGTATAATCCAGTCAGAGAAACAAAAACATATTGGGGAGTAGGAGAAAAAGAGAGGGAAAAAAAAAAAAAAAAAAAAAAAAAAAAAACTTTTCTTCAATGTAAATTAAACAGCTCAAAAACACATTTTTCCTAACCAGATACTGAGTTATAGAAGTTACATGGCTTTATAAAAAAATACCCAAGAATATGTTTTATTAGAAAAATAGATTAGAAGCATGAATAATTAGCTACTCCATGCTTTGGAGAACATTTTGGGAGTCCTACAGGCTGATCTATCTCTGTCCCATTTCAGTATCTCCTCAGAAAAGTGA